ATAATTATTTACACAAAAGATTTATTCTTAAATGTGCAGATATTTCAGAGCTGTTATACAGGTAAATTAAACAAGTGTTTATGATCTTACAACACTATAAATTAATCTTAGGGCGATATTCTTTAAAGCTATGGCTTTCGATTTTCAAGATTAAGATTTGCTGTAGTTTAGAGCTATTTAATTTAAAATATTTTTTAGGCAGACATTTCAAATATAATCTGTCAGCCGACGACGCAAGAGTTGTTCTAAGACTATCCGTAAGACAAGAATTCAGAAAAAGAACGAGGATTAATCAAAAGAAGTGACAGCAAAAAAAATATTCACTAAATAATGATCAAAGCATTGAATCTTTTAATCTAGGAGTCACAAAAAGTGATATTTGGAAATGTTAAAGACCTCATCGTGTATTTAATATAATATGAGTATTTAAAGATATACCTTAACTATAGGCTGAAAAAGAAACACACTGAAAACAAAACAACTCTTGAAGAAAAGACAATCGAACTCCTGAAGGAAACAGGAAACAAACTCTCAATTAATAGCATTCATTCAGACCTTTTACATTCCCCGACATCTCAGAGAGGGGGTCTCACATAATCAACTAAATTAGATGACGTAAAGAAGCTAATGACTTTCTTACAACTATGTACAATCAGCTGCCAGGAAGCTTGTATTTCATCCTTAATATATAAAAAATTTTTGGGATGCTCTCGGTCCCATTAAATTAAATGGTTAATTTCTACAAATATAAATTAAGAAATTTCGCCACAGAGAACTAAAATATCATGTGAAAAATTTACTACGATGGTATTTTAACACATTAATGTTGTTTAATCTAATTTAAAGTATTTTATTATAAAAAATTATAATTTCTTTTACTTCAACAAAATCATAGTAAAAATATTATCAAAAGGTTACTATTACAAGAATTTTAAAAATAAATATTCTGTTATATTCTATTATTTTATTAAACCCTATCTTATGTTAAGCACTAATATATTCTTAAAAAACAAAAGCATTCTAAAAAATTGCTTCAGGTTTGAAATTAAATAACAGGCTGGGATGCACCCCGATGGAAGACAGCCTTCAAATTAGCAAGTACTTTGATAAACTTTTCCAATATTAAAACGTGTTTTGCATATTGTTACATTAATGTCAGTGACTTTTTTGGTTTGCTTGCTTTCAACGTTCTTTATTACCTCACCATTAAAAATTTTTATTTATATTAAAAAAATTAAATTAGTCACCCAAACAAATTAAATAAAAAATTCATTAATTTGGGTTATACCACAACTAGTCTCGTTTCATTTAGGATAACACTTTTATTTAAAAAAATCGTTTTTGAGCATTTTGTATTTTCAAAAATTTTAAATATTTTTTAATTTTTTATTTGAGCATCGATTGTTATTTGTATAGTTAAATATTTTTATGATCTTTTTTTAAAGATTCTCTTGTTCTCTTCATAAAATTATTTGTTTAAACTTCTTTTTTTTTAATAAAAAATTCATTCGCTCGCATTACATTCTTTGAAGTTTTGTAAATTTACTTAATTTTATCTTAATAGCTTTAATGGAACAGAATATGTCTAATTAATATAAATTACAAAACATTGTCTTTTATACAAAAAAATTTTATGCATAAAAAAAGGTTTAAGAAACTATATATATTTATTTTTAAGCGAAGAAATTTAACAAACTTGTAACAAAATAAGACATTAAGCCTGTTAAATATAGTCAAATAAATTAAGCAGAAATATTTGAAGTTTTAACATCTAATTAATATTTCATATATTATTTAGTGCTTTTTCGATATATGATAACATAAGTAAATTCCTTTTTAGTTTTCTTTCAATAATTTTTTTTTAAATCATCTTCTAAGGCTGTCTAAATTTCCGATAAATCCTCGAATAACTTTAACGAGCTTAATGTTCAAATCTTCGAAAAAGCATCCCTTTTATGATTGCTACAACAGCATCAGCATACGTTTCTTTGCTCTGATGCTTGGAAAAAAAATTTCACACGCTTCTTGATTTTAATTAAGAACATAAATTATAGAGTCTCTAATATTTCGGGACAGAGGTAACTATAAATAATTTTTGTCTATGATATTCAGTTAAAACATCAATATAATACTTTTTCAATATATTTCTTAATATTTAGAGATGCAATAATAAGCTTTGAGTCAATAACACGAAACCTTTTTCGGTATTCAGGGTGTACTTAATGATTTGTGTATTCTTCAAATGCAACATCATTATGAAGTTGATCTAACACAGTATCTTTTAGAGACATCCTAGTTGATACATTTAGATTTAGTTTAAGAATGCATGTGTACTTAAGGATTGCAAATACAGTAGTGGCAAAAAAAGGAATATTTGAATAGTATAGTAATCATACACTTTATAGCTACATCATTTGATTTTTTTTACTTTGATAGGAAGTTTGAAATACACTGAAAGAAATTTACAATGTCTTTTTAAAACTTCTTTGGTATTAACAGAAAATTTTTTATTTTAGGTGGCGGGAAAATTTTATTTAAAACTATAGAAAACTTAATTTTTGTCCCCTATGACAAAAAAAGCATCTTTGAATGAAAAGTTAGAGATTAACTTTCTTAGAAATTGCAAAAAAGTTCTTGATAAGTCAATTGACAGTTTCAAAAATAAAGAAAAAAAATTAATGAAACAGGACAATTAGAAAGAAAGTCGGATTTTGGTAGGCCTTCATTACTTAATAGCAATGATATATCTTATTTGAAAAAAAAACAAATGCGGATCCACAAATTGGAAGTATTAAGCTTGCTGTAGAACTCAAGAAAATAGCTAAAAAAAATATATCTCTTCGATGTATACGAAATAATTTGTGTAAAATAGGATTGCATGTAAAAAACCATTTCTGTCTAAAAAGCATATCATGGTAAGAAAACAATAGGCAAATAAACATGCTTGCTACTCTGATAAGAGATGGAATCGGGTTATTTTAGTGATGAAACAAAGATAAATCTATTTGGCTCTGGCGGAAGAGTTTATGTGCGAAGAAAAGTTGGTCAAAGATATAATAAAAAAAATTTAAAACCCACAGTAAAACATGGTGGTGGTACATCATGGTTTGGGGATTTTTTTCGAGTGCAGGTGTTGGAATATATGTATAATTGACGGTAAAATGAACAGCGAAGTATATTGTAGAATTTTAGATACACGTCTTGCGCCTTCCGTAAAAAAACTTAATTAAAAAATTATATTTTGCAGCAAGATAACGATCCGAAGCATACAAGTAAATGCACCAGAGATTATTTGTCAGATAAAAAAATTTTGACATTAGATTGGCCTGCACAATCACCAGATATAAATCATATAGAAAATTTATGGCATGTTCTTAAAGTAGAAGTAGGGAAAAGGAAACAAAAAATATAAATGAATTAAAGAAATGTGTTGAAGAAAAGTGGAATAAGATAGATGTAGATATGTGTAAAAAGTTGGTAAAGAGCATGAACAGTAGGTGCAATGAATTTTTAAGAGTGAAAGGTGGACATAATAAATTTTAAAAAAAATATTCCCTTTTTTTGCCAGCTTTTATTTATTTAACTAATTAAAGCATTGTGTTAGCGTAATAAATAAAATAAACTACTTAAACAGTTATAAATGTTTGTAGCTTCTTTTAAAATGGCAATAACCTTTTATCATATGAAATTTTTAATTGCAAAATTAAATGTTCGTTTTTTTTTGCCACTACTGTATAAAAATTGTTGTTGATACCAGACATATTGATAAAATATGCAAGCTTTTTTTCAATAACATTAATGGGTAAAAAGTATATTTCTTTTATCTATCCTGTGGTTCTGCACCACTTGTTGGAATTCCCACATGTTGAAAAATATTATTGTTTTACCTTTAAACTAAAAAGAAAGTAAAAAACGTTTAATTTAATTTTATTAAGTTTCTTAAACCGTTTGTGAGCCCAGACAAAGTTATTGGCTGTAGATTATATCTGTTTAGTAAATCTCTAATTATACAGTCAATTAATAAATACTTTCTTTTCTTGCAATCTTTGGGCCTCCGCCCATTAATCATAATAATTCAACTAAATTAGAGATCATAATCTTTTTTAATACATTTATTACTTCGTAACAGTTAGGATTGGGTTTATTGATAAGCCTGTTTATTTTAGAATGGAATTCTTTTAAGATGCTGTTTGTTCTAGGTCCAAAATTATTACTATATTATCAAATCTCTTTTTTAAACAACATATTATCGCGTTATTCAGTAAGTTACAATGGAAGTATTCAAAAAATTCAATTACATTGAGCAAACATGATCTGTACTCAGTAATTATAGCTGTATAATCTTCATATAGACGACATACAGGCATAGGAGGCAAAGCAGTTATACATTCAATGCATTTCTTAAATCGACTATCACTATTAAATTAACGTATCAAACCAAATTCAGAAATTTTCTCCATATGGCCTGTCCAAATTAAAAATAACAACCTCTAATAATGGCTTGAGGATAAATGTTTTTGATCGCTAGAAACGCTCAATTTCAAAATCAATTTAAACTTCTTTCGAATTAAACATAATATTATTCTGATGCCATTATTTCATAATTTTTATAAATAAAAATTCATAAATTTCTTAATTTTTTTCGATCTAAAAAGCAATAAAAAAGAGGAAACACAGTACTATCAAAATCTTCA